AACCAGTGGTGTCGAACTTTGGCCCTCCAGATGATCTTGGCCTTCAACTCCCAGAAATCCTGGCCAGCAGAGGTGGTGGTGAAGGCTTCTGGGAGTTGAAATCCAAGAACATCTGGAGGGCCACAGTTCGACACCACTGCCCTAGAATGAGAAGAACATCTTTCTTTGGTGTCAGTTCTAGAAGGTGTTGTAAGTCTTCATAGAATTGGTCAATTTCAGCCTCTTCAGCATCAGTAGTTGTTGCATAAACTTGCATCCTTACTGTGATGTTGAAAGGTCTGTGTTGGATTTATATTGAAATCATATCCCAGTACAGCTTTCCCCACTCTTTTGTTGACTATGAGGGCTACTCCATTTCTTCTACGGGATTCTTGCCCACAATAGTAGATATGATAATCATCTGAATTGAGTTCGCTGATTTCCATCCATTTTAGTTCACTGACGCTCAGGATGTTAAAATGTTTATTCTTGTCATCTCCTGTTTGACCACATCCAGCTTACCAAGGTTCATAGATCTTACATTCCAGGTTCCTTTGCAGTATTTTTCTTTGCAGCATCGGACTTTCCTTTCACTTCCAGGCATGCCTGCAGCTGAGCGTCCTTTCAGCTTTGGCCCAACCACTTCATTAGCTCTGGAGCTACTTGTACTTGCCCTCTGCTCTTCTTCAGTAGCATATTGGACGCCTTCCGACCTGAGGGGCTCATCTTCCAGCATATCTACAGGGTGAAATGGCATACTGAAATATAAAAATAGAACAAACAAACAGGTTATGAGTTAAACTTTATCTGTGCTGAAAGGAAGCATGGATAAAGTGTGCTGCTGTTTGTGTTGTTATAGCCATGTTCTTTAATTAGAGAAAATCACACAAGGGGCCATGGTTTTTAGTCATTGACCCATTTGTCTCTTGCCTATTATTGCTCAGCTACTACATTGTAAGAGATGCTTCTTACAAATAGCAGTATTTCCAAGAATAGTATCCTGGTCAGAATAGGTGTTTTATCTTTTTGTTTATTATTCGACAGGACAGTGACGTTGAAGCAATGGTCCAATGTATGGAGAACATCCTACACACCAGCACTTTGGGTGAGATGGACTACTTTTTCTGAATTAACAATAGACCATGATAGCAATATAGTTTTCTGTCTATCTCTGAACATCAGCCTTATTTTGCAGTATGGACATGAACTCATCTGATTCTTGCAGGGAACCTGCTAGTATAGATATCAAATAGTTTTTGTTTTTTTTCATTTTCATATAATATAACAAAGTGGAAAAAAAACCATTCCTCTCTTTTAAACAGTGCACATTTACCCGGGAGTAAGTCCTACTGGAAAAAAAGTGTAACCACTGAGTTGGATGTGCACAGTACTGTACTGTAAAAGGCATTCTAAGTATTTGTTACTAAAGCATTTATGAAAACCTTTTAAAAATTAAAAAAAATAGAGCTGAAATTGCCTGTGGAAAAACTTGATTAAAAATAATTTCAGCATTTATCTTTTAACACATTATTGTCATACCCTGTTGAGTTCAATGAATATTAACACATTTTACAATGAAAGGAAAAGCACTGAAGTTAATTCATTTTCATTTTGTGATTGCTTATGATATATCACTTTATTCTAATACAGAGTATTTCCCTTTAGACAAATTTGTAATAATTGTGTATTTCAACAATTGTATATGTGTTAATTGTGTATGTGTTAATTTTTTTATTTTTGTAAAAAAAGAAAATCTTGTTTTATCAGCTGCAGCATTTTAACTTCTCTGTGTGACTATGTACCTATTCATTCTACAGATATAAAGTAGGATTAGGGCTAAGAAAAAATAGATTCAGATTCCTGCATCGCCACAATGCTGTCTGAATGAATTTTGGCCAGTTACTCTCTCTATTTTATTACTGTAAAAGTCAAGTTGAGAGGAAGGAAGGGGGAAATATGTTTGCTACTCTGAGCTCTCTAATGGGATGATGAGGTTTGAGTAAATAAATAAGGCTAATGCAGCCTCCACAGAGGGCCTGAACAGATCATTTTCTTCTTTGAAAGAGAGCATTTCCTGCTATACCACTGCTGAGACAGAATTTGTTGATTTGACCAATGCTTTGGCAGAAAATTACTCCAAATTCCTGCATTTCTATTTCTACATTTAAATAATGAATAGAGTAGGAAACAAATGCTGTTTTCCAAAAGAATGCTGAAGTGCCTGTGCCAAGTGTACAAGGTATGTGTAAGACAGTGCTGATCACTGAGACAAATGCTCTTTGTAGGTCTGGATTATCTTGTATAAGATACTTTTAAAAAAAATTATGGCAAGCATTATTGCATAGCTCAAACATTTTTTTCTTATTTTTTTACTTCTAGTATAATATTTTCCTTAATTATTTATTATGTTTATATACCCCTTTTCTTTATGTGAACTCAAATACATGGCTCTCCTCCTGCCTATTTCACATTGACAATAATTCTGCGATATAGATCCTGCAGAAAGAGAGTGAATGGCCCAGGGTCACACAGTTAGTTTTGTAGCTCAAGGGAATCTAGAACAGGATCCCACAAATACCCTAACTATTGCACCATATTGGCCCTCTAGGACATGTTTGTAGTTAAGTAGCATCCTACTCATAGTGTTAGTACATATAGGCAACAGTATCCTATCTAATTGCCAAAGATATGGGGGCTTCTTTGAATAATACGGCGCCGACACTGATGACATTTCGGCGCCAGGTCAAAACCTTCCTGTTCCAGAAGGCTTTTAACTGAAATAATATTAGCTGTGGGTCTATATATATATATATATATATATATTTGTACATATCTTTATTGTATTTTAAATGCTGTAAGCCGCCCAGAGACCTTTGGGTACTGTGGGCGGCATATAAATTAAATAAATAAATAAATAAAAATAAATAATACACCTGGCATATTCAAATTGGTGCACCCCATCAACCTGTATACATAACAATGCATTGTATTTAAAAATGACAGGTTTAATACAATCTGCTTTAATCTTGCCAGAGAATTGGCCTAAGTTGCATAGAACAGGTATTCACTATTATATGACTCAGTGCGCAACAGCAAATGTGTGTTCTGACATCTTAACTTGGGACAATTTACCGCCAAGATTTATGCCAAATGCTTTATGCTGGTGGGTATAAATAACAGGATTTTGGCGAATGTGTGTTTTGTGGGTTTTTGATATCATAGTTTATGTCACTGTGTTGGTTCAAAAGCCGGTGTACCATATTCTCAGTATTGACTTTCTAGAATTGAACCCACATCTTCTCTTCTCTCTCTGACATTTGTTTATGATTTTTCATTGAATTAAGTTAAATGAAGACATTTAAACCAAAGGATCGTTGTATTTGTTTAGTGCAAGGTTTAAATAGTGTCCTTTGACATTATTTTAAGACAAGGCGCACAGAGCAGTTTGCTGAATTTTAAAAGATCAATGTTCAATCATTAACATTAATGAATGCTAATGTTCATTAAACATTTACTGATTGCAAGTTGCATTATAATGCAATGTGATTATATAAAGAGTGCTCAAATGAAACTATTTTATGTCTTCTACACAGGACGTCAAGTTATGTAACAATTAGATATAATACACTGCATAGAAGCTGCTCTTCTCATCACTAATTTTATTGCACAATTTTTTTGAAAGGGGATGCATGCAAGTGCACAACTATTGGCATCCATATTATAATCTCCCAATTCCCCAGTGACTGTATAAATGTACATGAATTGGAGTCAGATTCACATTATTAGCAAGAATTGTTTTGGCATTTGTTTTGCTGATGTGATGACACATGGAGAGCTAGACCAGAATGTTTTATAGTTCCCAGCAACTTTTAAGTACAAATAATGTATCGTACCTGCTTGTACCTGCCCTTCTTGGTCAGTGATGTTGTGGAATCAGCCCTCATGTTTCTCACTGGTTATGCATAGATTTTCTTTGAAAGGGAATAGCTTAAGGTTCTAATCGCCAGCAGTTCCTACAAAGACAACAAAGCTGGAAAGTATTCTTATGTGCTTTCTGAGAAGGGGTTTACAAAGTTAAGCCCAATGATTAAATACCAGGGACGAAGACTTGAGTTACAGGACTCTCTGCCAAGTCGGACTTAAGTCACACTGATAACTCTACTTGGATATGACTTGGTGTTGCTGTTGTTTTTAATTACTTGGACAAGACTCATGGTTTGGAACCCATCCACCCCTCCCTTTTTTCTGGAGAAAAAGCTTATTTTTAATGGGGATTTGGACTTGGGGTGAATCCCTCAGACTTGGACTTGGGACTTGGACCCAAAGACTTGCCAGCATCCCTGTTAAAACACTATATTTATTTCTGGTGTGCGTTAGTTTTTGAAGAGGCAGGAGTATTTTGAAAATTCAAGACCCCATCCCCCAAAATATTAAGAGCTGCAAGGACGAATCAGTATCTGCAAGTGACTTTTCATAGTAAGGGTGTGACCGAACTTCCATGGCATGTACCAAGAGCTGTGGACATCCATTATATTTAAGCAGCCAGTACCACCTGATCATACTGAGGTCTGCTTAGTGTGTTTTTTAAATTTAGGTGTGCATACAAAAGCATACAGCCTATCTGAACACAAAAAATATAGTATGGACAGAATAATATTCCATTTATTTATCTACTTACTGTAATTTGTCAACTACTGCCTCTAAACCAGTATCTCTGTGGTATGTAGAGCAATAGAATAACAGAGTACTACAATGCATTTGGTAGGACAATTATTCTTTGTGATACATGGTAGCCTTCAAACAAGCAAAAACAAAAAGAACAAAACTGAGTTAACAAGGGCCTACTCAGCTAACACTGCTGTGTAACAACAGGAAAGGAATTCCAGAATTACCAGTTTAATGGTGGGAAGATCTTATTTTAAGGTTACTGCTAAAGGACAGTCACCAACAACCAAGATGTCTCCATAAAAGGCCAAGTGATTTTACAGGTAATCTGATCAAGAATCTTGAAGCTCTCTTCAAGAAAGCTTATTGGAAACATAAAAGCCCTATTCAGGTGTTCAGAAAAAGGCTATTTTAATGCTTGTAGGAAGCAATAGTCTGATGAGCCAAAACTCTCCTAATGCACTGGGTCTTGCTACACAGTTGAAAACCATCATTTTTTAGGGTGTTCAGAATGCATAGCAGACCTTTTCATCTTCACACTGTAACTTTTGCTGACAGTGGCATAAAGTGAGGATAGATGAATTTTATGTTGTCATGCATTCAGATTGGCTCTTTTCTGAACTCCTGAATGGGACGGTAGGTCTTTCAGGAAGCCAGGACTGGTGGTGGATCCTTGCTTTGGATACCATGAACAGTGCTAATATGCAATGTTTTGATCTGTTCTAAGATTTTGATCTTGTCATCTTTGCAGTGGTGTGGTTCCTTTGAATTTCTCAATCCCTGTGCAATGGCCATTTTTATGACTTCATGTTATAGACTAAAGAAAGACTCATGGATGATGCTTTTGTGTCATCCATGGTGTTTTACCTGGTGCTGCCACAGCAGCCTCCATGTTGGATGGAAGAAGAGGCCGAGAGGATTTGCAGAACTCCCTGTGAAATCTTTGTTCTGCTGCTACTTTGATTGGGCAAGGCATTTAGGGAGGTAATGATGTGTTACAGAACATTTTTTTTGGCCAACAATAACAAATCAGTTATATTTAGCCATTTAGCCTGGGGTCCTACAGCAGATGAGAAAGATGTCTTTAATAACAAAATATTAGATTAAGCGAAGCTGAAGTGCTACAATAGTCAAAATATTCAGAACACTGGTAGAATGAGAGTATGCAAAGAAGAGAGAGGGAAAAGGAAGCAGTGAGTGAAACCTATAGAATTCTACCCATCGACCATCAACTCCAGCCCCTTTAGGTTATAGATATGGCAGCTAAATTAAGGCACTTGCAATAATCCCATTTTATTTTATTTTAGGCTTTTAAAAAAAATAAGTAGCCTAAGATTAATTTTGGATAATACTATTTACATCTTCAAAGTTGGGCACTACTGAGAAGATTACATCCCTCTTTCCTTTGACAGGAAAAGGCCTTTGCCCAGTTGCACATGTAGTTTATCAGGCATCGGTAGATCTTCACTTGTTTGTGCAGAAATGCTAGTTCTTATTTCATTTATTTATTTATTTATTTATTTATTTATTTATGAATGCATGCATGCATGCATGCATGCATATCCTGGCTTCCTCCTTAAAAGGACCAAAGGTGGTTTGCATCATTAAAAGACTGTATTAAAGCTAAAAATAGCAAGTACACAAGTATTATGAAGTGTCAAACAATACCATACAAAAAACACAAGCAACACTAAAACACATTCAAAGAAGTAAAGTACAACAATCCATTTACAAACCCTACTTGGGGAGACAATCACTAAGGGAGAGCCTGCCTGAAGAGAAAGGTCTTTGCCTGATTCCAGAATAGAGATGTAAACTTTCCTAAAAGTTCCATTTTTTTCCAGGAAAAAATAGGGGAAAACATTTTTTTCAGAAAAAAATAGAAATTTTAAGAAATTTTACATCTCTATTCCAGAAAAACAGTAAAGATAGGGCCAGTCTGACCTCTTCTGAGAAGAAGTTCCAAAGTCTGGGAGCAGCAACAGAGGCCTTCTCCCATATCCCCACCAAACACACCTGTGAAAATGGTGGGACCTAAAGAAAGGCCTCTCCCGATGATCTTAACGCTTGAGCAGGCTCATAAAGGGAGATGTGGTTTTTGAGATAGCTTAGGCCTAGAACAAAAGTGTCCTCAGACTGTATCCACTCATCAAGTATTTCCTTCTGCAAAAGTTTCACCTCAGAATGATTCACCCAATGGCTGTTATGTAGCAGTAGCATAGGATGATGTAGATGCATGGAAATACCTTGGTGAGCTTGAATGTAATCCATATGTTTCACATTAGTTACTCCATAATGTAGAAGGAAAAAGAAAGATGATAATAGCAGGTTAAATTCAAGATTAATTTTAGTTTGAGTGGATCTGACAAAATCTGTGGGATTTAACTCAGTTGTGGCTATTACATTTCATTTATTTCAGTGGCCTGTTCTAGGCTGGAATGAATTTAGCCCAATTCTAAGACCCAAACATTTTTCTTAAAAAAAAACTTTTGACATCAGCATAATAAAATGGAAAGAATTGACATCAGTGGCATAAAAAGGTGCAGAATTGTAGCCAAACAGACATGTAATTAATCACTTATCCTATTTTATATCAAATCTACATACAACAGCAGAAATTGAAATACAGTACATATCACTTTATTGGTACATTTGTATCCTATACATTATCTTATTGTTATTAACAATGTTTATTCAAAATAGTACTGTTTTGCAAACTATAAGAAGAACTAGATGGGGGAATTTGGAGTGATCCAGGTCATATTTAAAAGGTTATTATCCTTGATGTGATCTATTTTATCTTGCATCATAGCAGTCCTTCCATTCACATGGGAGATGTTTCTTCTCCCATGAGAAAGATCCAGACAACACTTCAGATTGGCCCAATTTCTTCCCCTTTTGATTACTGAAGCCCCCACTCCTTTCCCCACTTTTTGTCCTCATCATTCTGCAGGTCACAGCAACTTCTTTTCCTCCCCCCTTTAATTTAGTGGCATAGCACTACAGCAATATAGCACCCTGGCTTGGATACTCCTTTATATCTGAAAAAGTGCTGCATCATTTAGGATTATTTTTAAAAAAAACAGTGAGAGGAGGAAAATAAAATAGAGGGTTTCTCCATTGTCCTTTCTACCATCACAACCCACTGTATATGTCACAATGTTGCCACTGAAGAGAACATTGCCCACCGTTGTATCTGAGAATGAATTAAGCCACCACACAACTGCAGGAACAGAATAATCAGGAGCATTCCCAATTGACCAAATAAACTGCATCCCTAGCACTGTGCCAGAAAACAGCTCACGAAAAGGAGGGAGCTTTGCTCTTTTTAAAACACATGTGATCACTAGAAAATAGGGTGAACAAAACCACACAAAAAGTGAAGCAAATAGCAAGCTAAATGGCCATCTGATTGCCCCTTATGTATGACTGCTGCTATTTCTGTGGACTGCCATGAAACTCCTCACCTTGCATACCCGACAGTAATGACAAGTTTGAGAAATAAACTAGGTCTTAATTTTATTGACTAATTTACAACCATACCTGGATTATTAAAAATTGAATGTCAATTTGAGAAATTGCATGTAAACAGAGGGGCAAATATTCACTGGAATAAGTATAAGAGAAGATTTATCACTGAATCATAATATCACAGAGTATTGGAACTGGAAGAGGCCTACAAGGTCATTGAGTCCAACCCCCTGCTTAGTGCAGGAGACCAAGTCAAAGTGTATCTGACAGATAGATGTCTAACTTATTTTTTAATGCCTCCAGCGTTGGAGTGCTCACCACCATTTCACCTTTCCACCCAAACTATGTTGTCTCCAGTGCCCCCCACCCCAGCCTCTGAATACATATCAATGGACAAAAAGCTCCCACTGGTGCCAGTGGGAATTGCCAACTTCAGAGTGTGATCTTCATGGTCAACATAGGTGGGGAGGGAAAAGTTTAATAACCGCGTGAGCTGCAGTTCTTAGGAAGGCAAGGGGCATATCTGGTATAGCTGTAGCAGTTATCTACTATACTCAAAAGTTAAAATCAGATAATATTACAGCAGATTTTGTATGCATTGCTACTGAAAAGAAAAATAAGTGACATGAAGAGCTATGTTGTTTCTATGAACATTTAGCAAAAAAGAGAAAAATATTGAAACTCATATTATTATGCATTTCTCCTGTCATAGGAATTACACCCACAAAGTTTGTTGTTCAAAGCATTTTGCAATATCAAACTGCAATGCTGGCAGAATAATTTAATCTGTTAATTCATGTTTAATTAAAGCAGCATTTTTCTGTAACAAAGGTTATTTCCTCCCCCTCCCCAACTCCTTTTCCTGATTGTCCTTGGATAGCACTTTGGATCTGCATGAATGCCAAGGAGAGCAAGGTGAATGAGAGTATGCTTCTGGCATTGATTTGTAGGTACTGGAACTGTCACCAGAGTGACTCCACGGGGACACGAGGGATCAAGAGTTCTCAACAACACCATGGCGGCAAGCAAGCTGAGGCGTATGAGGGAGTAAGTCATCTTTTAAAATGTTCACAGCAGACAAAGATTCTGGCTTTTGCATGAGAGTGAGACGAAAATAACTTTGGCTCAGAATATGCATTTCAGTATCAACCAATGGTAAGTGATTACTTCTATCATCAGCAACGTCTCCTTGTACTTGGTACAGTAACTGTCATGTCTGAAATGAGAAAGCCGATCCTTGTCTCAAAAATGGCCATTCGTCACATCTATATTGTCTGGGTGCAAATTCTATCAATGTGCTTTAAATAGTCAAAGTTAAAAAAAATCTGCTTTTTCTATTGCTTGCTTTTCATGGCTCTTGTTTTTCCACTCTCTTCCCAAAGACTTACCAGGATGCAGTCAGTCAGATAAGAATGTTCTTCTTTATGCTCAAGATTTTATACTACATTTCTTTAACAGATTTCTTTAGTGGAATGTTGTGGGCTTTACCACCATTTAACAAAACTCAATCTTTCCTTGTATTTTAGCTATCTTATGAGAGGACTTGGAGTGAACAGCATAAATATTAGCCAAATAATGTGAAATGATATATTTAACTGTTTATTGTATTGTTCAGAGCACTCTTCTGATAAGCCACCCATAATTTCCCATGGTGACTCACTTCTTAGTCCTGTGTCATTGGTGGAAATGATTTCCCTGATGGATACTTCTTAATAGGCCGAGGAACCAATGGATGCTCATCTACCCTGTTTCCCCAATAATAAGACCTAACCTGAAAACAAGCTGTGGCATGATTTTTCAGCATGCTTGTAATATAAGCCCTATCCCAAAAATAAGCCCCAGTTAAGTGAAACCCCACCCTCCACCATATTGCAGCAACCAGAAGATGACGACATGACTGTATTTGAATAAATGTAGATTGTTGAACATGAAAAAAATTAAACATCCCCTGAAAATAAGCCCTAATGCATTTTTGGAGCAAAAATGAATATAAGACTCTTATTTTCGGGAAAACATGGTAGCCATCAGAGCGTTTAAAAGCACACAGTAAAATCTGTAAGATTACATACTGAATGATATCTCTATATCTTAATTATGATAATGATTTTGAAATTATTTCTAATATATCTACCTACACTTGCTCTTTCTCCTTTTTGTAGGCTTGGAGTGCGGGCTTCATCTCTAATTATATATCTAGAGGGAAATAAATGCATGCTATGGTGAATAGACTGAAGGAGGAGGTTTTATTATCCTTCAAGATTTAGTGATGTTTAAGGCTTTCTTAAAATTTCTGGAGACAGTTGCAAGCAAGTGTGTGTGAGGAAAAAAAGACTTAAAGGTGCACAAAGCTGTAATATCCAAAATCACCTTTCATAACTGGATGAAATTAATTAGCGATGATTTATTGCCAATGATAACATCATCACCAGTGAGCAAGTGGAACCGTGCAACAAGATTTCAGCCATTAATTGTTGAATGAGAATTTGAAAATGTGAACATTTGGGTCTGTTCAAACTCATTATTTCTCTGTACTCTAATAATGCACAAAATGTGTACTGTGATTTTGTAAACTAACGATTGTAACCATTCATTTTACTATAATTATAATAAAACTTTTTAGTTGTTCTTGAAAGCCCCTTTGATCACAAGAGTGAAGGAAAACAGCTCATTGTCCAACAACCAAATAATAGGGTAGGAACTATTAATCAACATAAAAATCAGAAACAAAAGGTTACAAAATACAGGAAACAAATTATCTTGGTAGAAACTTTAGATTGCCCAGTATATATGCCTTGGAATCATTTTTTTTCAATTTTGCAATGTTTTCTGTGGGGGATATTGTCAAGTAGCTCTTTACATCCTCAGTAAATGCACCCCGTATTTTCAAAGATAGGGGGAGGGGAGAAAAATGCTGGTTCGCAGTGGCTGATGCCATCTGCAGGGTTCATTAAATTGTGTAGGAATGGCCAGAAAGGAGATTTCTCTTCCTAGGTTTGTCCCCCACCCCATCCCTAGAAGGCTCATCTCTGAGTCAAGTCAACATTGTTGATTCGCCTTGCATGTCTCCCAGATTGCCACCCATCCCCCAAGGACCATAGGCCATGTTCAAGTTAGGAGAAGCGGCTGTTTCTGTCATTTATCTAGCCCGTGTGGAGTGTAACTTGCTTCCCCTGGAAAAGGCACCTATCCCCTAAATTTCCCATATTTATTTTCTAAATTATCTTCAGAAGATTTCAAAACTATTGGCAAAATACTGTTAAGAAGTGACATATTCTTGGATTTCTTAGTTGTCATTAACAATCTCATGGTTGTTGCCAAATAGGAATTTTGTATTTCTGAAGCCCATGTTGTTTTATGAGTTTCATTTATTCATGGGTCTCTGTTGTAGCTTTTTGATTTGGCCCTTTGTGTGTACCTGACTAGAGAATAATTGGAGATATATGCAGTAGGTTTATCATCTATAGCTTCCTCTTTTCAGTGGTGGAGTTAAAACAAAGGAAAGCACTAAAAGGAAGAAAATGACTCTAAATACACAATATTTCACATTATTTTGCAGAGAAACCTAAGAATACATACCATGTCACAATTTAATGGCAAAGAACTTGACAGTGCTATTATTTTCTAAAAAAACAAAAACAAAACCCAAATCAAAAGTAGATGGGTGAAATTAAAAAGCTTTTATAGACCAGCATTTAAGTAAATTAAAATCTTGCAGCACAATGGTGAATGCCTCTCATTCAGCCCCAGTGTCTTCTACTCAGTAGTGTGCCCAGTCCTGGCAGAAGAACCCATCACCACCTGCTGATTGTAAGTAAACTTGCCATTCGGGAAGTGTAGAAGAAAGGCATTTGGTGATATTTTAATCTGTCACCATGTATGGCCAGACCACTATTGCTTTATATTCATAAATGTTTTGTATAGAAAGACCCTTGGGCATCTGAGGAGAGCATGATTTCCTTTCAAAATTCAGAAAGAAAGGTCATAGTGAAGTAATTGATTGAACACTGCATGACTTTTAAGGTTAACGGACAACTAAGACAAGAACTGGCTAAACATTGTAGCTCTAGCCTAAATGGACATGCACAACTTAATATATTGACAGGGGGTTTTAAGGAACTCAAGTCAAACCAACTTTATGCATGATAGAGGTAGCTCTTCACAAATGCTCGAGTGTGTATTCAGAAATAAAAAGAAATATAGAACGGTGACATGCTGGAACCACATGTACATGTACATGAATTACCCACTCAATTAGTCAAGACTTTTCTGCAGATCAAAAAAACAGAAGGAAGCTTGTGGTCATAATAGGTTTCCAGGAAAGTAAAATGCTTTGGTCAAGGTAATGCCTCAGTGATTCATTTTATGGTCAGTAAACACCACTGGTAAAGCTGTTTGACTCTTTCAGCTTGACAGAACATAGATCAGCACTCAATTTTGCAAGGCTGTACAGTATTTTGCTTACCATTCATGGAAGGATCTTTGATCCACGATGACTTCTGCGAATGGAGAGGAAAGGAGGAAAGTTTTGCAAAACCTGTCTTTCTTCTCTAGTCCCTTGATCATCTCTCATGTTGTTCCAATCCCAAATCCTTCAGGGCAAATTGTAATGGAGTATGGGGAAGATCATAGGAAGTTTGCAAAAATTGTCCCATTGCCCTTTAGAAAGACAACACTGGAAACAACACATAAGAATACAAGGGGGAGCAAGTAGAAGCTATCTTTCTCTTTTATAGCATCTGCTATTGCCTAAGCCTTATAGCATCCATGAGATAGAGCAGACCTGGGCAAAGTGTGGCCCGAGGGCCACATTCAGCCCGCGAGCCACTCCTGTCTGCCCACCGGTCGTCGCTCTAGTTCAAGCCCAAGACAGACTGGATTTCTCTCACTGAACAAGCTGAACATCAAAACTATTTATAGCTTTTTGTCTAAAGTTGATCAGTTGCTTATCTTTAACACACCGCAAAAACCTCTCTAGTATTTGTGAAGATTAACAAGTTTAAAATAAAAACACTGTTTCATTTTATTTTTAAATAAAGTTGGTTCGCCCCCCCAACACAGTTCAGATTTTTCATGTGGCCCCTCTATAGAAATTAATTGCCCACCCCTGAGGTAGAGGGATTCTGCATCCCAGAATTTGGAACTGTTACTTTTTGGACTATGGTTTCCAGAATTCCCAAGTCATCATATTCAATGGGATTTGAAAATTCGTAGTCTGCAAAAGTAAATTTCCCAAACATTACTAGAATATAAAGTACAGCGTTTTAACCACTGCGCCACGAGGCTCCCAAACATTACTAGAATATAAAGCTTAATCCAGTATAAGCAATCAATGAATAAAAGAGCAAAAGTTATTGAGATCTATTTTTAATCTACCTTCAATAACTAGAAGACTACAGCAACTGGTAAATGTATTATTGTCTGTTTAATCATATTAATGAAATCCTGTTTCATTCACAACAGGATTCTTGTTTCGGACTGTGTTCAGATCAAGCCCAGTTACATATAATAAGCCAATGGCAAAAATTTGGTAATAAATTGCAACTGGAGTAGGCCCATTGACTCAATGGAACTTGCTAAGGACTTGGCTCACCACATCCTCACCTATTCTAGTTTCAATTTACTACAAGATTTTAGTCAATATATTAGTATATGCCTCCAAGCCTTCCATGGGGAGAGGGGCTTCAAAAGGACTCACAGGCCCAGACATACTGGCCATTGATAAAGCTTCCTCCTCCAAAGTCGCAACTGGGTGTGGATGGAAGTTGTTGTGGGTGGGCAAGGTCTGCTGATGGTTGTTTTCACTTCCTCTGGGCTATAGCCTCTTGTGGCCAACTGAAGCTTGAGGCTTGTAGTGATTTCTGTTGGGGCCACTGTGACATCTCCACCCACCTCACCCCTTCATCATTTTCTTCTGTTCTTTCCTCCTTCTGTACAACCTGCTGCCACCAATCTCCTTCTTTATTGTTTTCTCCCTCCCCTTTTATACCCTCAAGACTGCCACCCTCCCTTCTAGACTCTTTGAACCCTGGTTCCTCTCCCTGAGTTTTGCCCTTTCCAGAAGGTTCCTTGCCCTCTGGACTCTATGGGCAAGCTTCTCCTGGAGTCTTCCTATACCATTTCCACTGGCAATTCCAGTAGAGTTGGCGGCTTCACAGGAGCAGTGTTGTGACTTTCCTCAGGAGATCACCCAGGAGAGTGACTGGGGCCAAAGTCGGGGAGATGGTGTCAGACCCAACAGAATATGGTTTTAGTAGCACAGTTCATCATTTTCATTTAATAAATGGAGAAGGGGCAATTTTGAGAAAAGGAATGACCTTTCCTATTTGGAATATGTCTCTCTTTTTAAAGGCAGCATTGAAGAGTTGACTTTTCATGGCCAACATAACTTTTTAAAAAGGAAAAGAAAGGCACAGTGTTCTAAAATGGGAGAGCAAACCCTTCCTGCTTGCTCAGTATTTTTAAACTAGTACTGTAATGCCAGATTTCACATTAGAAGGCACTTCGTGGTAGAAGGTGTGGGTGTGCATGATCAGTGGATAATGAGGATATGCAGAAGTTCAAAAAGTTTCACTTTGATTGGCTTGGGGATTCTTGGAGTTGCAGTCCCCAAATTACTAATTTGTAAGCCTAACACATAAACTAATGTTCTATGTATATGGCAGGGAAAAGATGTTTAATCATGTTTCTGTATCACAGAGTTATTGATTGTATAGGCACTGTGAACACAGTTATTTTTGCAAAAGCAAAGTAACCCACAATTTATTTCAGCACACTAGTTAATGTTCTCTCTAATGGTGCTGATGAAATGTTACCACTGCTATCTGTCAAACACACACATGCACTTTAATCCTCACCTTATTATTCTGGTACTCCATATTTTTACTCCACTGTGATACATAATTGATTCAGCAACTGTGGGGATTCTGTTTATCTTTGGTCACAAATTAAAGTATACTTTGAAAAGGGTTTTGAAATCTTAAGCAGATGCTTTGAAATGACAAAGATTTACCTCAGAAAAAGGAGTACACATGCTTGCCCACATCCTTCTTTGCACTTGTTGGTATGTGTTTCGTATAGCAAAACAACAGAGAAATTCTTTTCTTAGAAGGTAGTTTAGAAGCAAATGATTTGTCATTGCTGTAGAACCTTATGTCATTCAAATGTCATGACTACAGTTGAGTAGTGGGTAGATGTGGACAGTCTTTCAAGAAGATTGTAAGGCTGTTGAAATATTGTTGCCAAAGAGTGTATTAAAAGTAGGGGGGATGAATTGAGCTCCAAAGCAAGACTCCATGTTGATTTAGTTCCAGCAACTCGTCCTATAAATTACAAACATTCATTGAAAGCTGCATTACTGTATCCTCATAGTAATTATTGCCATCCCAGGGGGTGGAAGAACTTTAGATAAAAATATGGAGCTAATCAGAAGATATGGTTCTTTTCAGCAGCTTGATCTCCTCTTTTGATTATAAATATCCTTGATGGTTGCAGTTCAGTTTGTATTTTTAATGCCATTGTGAAGACCTGGAATTCAACTGATAATCAATTCGATTGTGAAGGATATCTGCTAAGATCAAACCTTCATCTTGGGAAATATTTCCTCCACTTCTTTTCCTTTTTATTTTACCTTGAATGGTCAGCTGTAACCACCTATACTGTTTCTCATTCCACGGCTGAAATATCCTAGCTTTCTGCATCTGGTGTATTCCATGATTTATTAGTCTTTATTAATACCTCTTAGTACTTCTTATTGGTCACTCTCTTCACCCAAGAAATTTCTAGCCTCCTACAATAAACACATACTTCAAATGCTTTCATTTTAAAATACGGGAATAATAGTGCTGATTTTTTTTTACATGACTGTTGAAATTGAATGTTGCTGAGTGATGCTGTGTTGGCTGCAGGGTTAAAAGCTATTCTGGGTTAAGTAAGAGGGCAGAATTTTGAGACAGAAAGCATGGTACTCCTCCCAGCCCTATCCACTGCCATATTGAAAAATTAAGTCAATGGGCCCCAATCTAACTTGCAGTATGCCTAATAGTTGGTCTTCTGCATTTATGTTACTTTACTTTATTTATCACAGACACCAGGCCTGGTCTTTTTTACATTTTGTGTCCAATGGGAAGGGATGTGGAGAGCACTTGTAGAAATTCACCACTCTTCAGCTAGAACCTTCTGTCTATTAGGAGAAAACAGATGGGCTTTTCATTAATATAGCATACATGATGTTAAATTTTAAACGATGGGAAATTCTGTTATCAGGAGACAAATATGTCTTCTCCCATTTTGTTGTGAACTAGTCTTCTTATTTGATGAGTATCTAAAATGGATCTATGAATTATGGTTGATCTTCCTACTTACTCCAAGGAAATTGTTTAGTGTGTTTTATAATATCTAAACACTGTAAATATGTATGCATTAGCTGAGACTGTGATAAAGTATCTTATTGAATTTGATGTCAGAATTCACTCCACATTTTTCATATGCACATCAGAATATATGCATTAATCCTGCTATAATATTATGGAACCATTTTGTTGAAGTGCTATTGAAAGTTGCAAGATATTTGCTCAATTATAGTAAGTTATGGACGTAATATGTACATTATTTCTCATCTAGCCAATTTACCAGCATTTGTCATCTTTTGACAGGTCAGCCATTCAAAAATTGGGAACAGAAATCTTTGAAAAGGTTTATAAGTTCCTCCGGCAAGCTAGACGAGGAAATGCAAGTGAAGATGAAATCAAAGATTATCTGGAGAAAATGGGGTCCCCAGCAAGTGACTGTTTTGAAGTAGATCAGCTTATCTATTTTGAAGATCAGCTACAGGATTCAGAAGGTTCTGCAGTGTGATATATATCCCAAAACAGGTTAATATGAATTCTCTGAAAGCAACAAAAAGGGGACTCTTCAACTGGGCAAGCAGGCATCAAGCTATATGTTTGGAAAAACAGGTAGCATGAGATACTGTTGGACAGCCATTTTGTTATCTTACTAAATGAGATAAACAGCATCCTTTTTAAACTTACAGATGAAGTCAGTAGGAGTTTTTGACTGAGTCCTATAGAAGCACTGTTGCATTTAGATCATACTTTCCTTGAAAAGTTTTTGATTATGACTGTCGATCATATATATGCATTTTTCATTTATTTTTTAGAAGACATGGGAACGTTCACTAGCCCAACCTTTACCCAAGTTTCAAAGTGATGTGCAAGAATGAGCATTATGGATGAGGTGGAGGAAAAACACAGGAGGAAGAGGGAATAAAATAATTTTGGTTTACTCCCATCAGCCAAAGATAAAGTGGGAGAATTTAGTATAAATGAAGGTAAAGAAATCTATTTTATGGTGACAGCAGTGCTTCCTGAATGGACATTTCTCATATTCTGTCCTAGCTTTGTTTTCCTGTCAGCAACATCACATAGCCAGATAGGATTGCCTGGCCTCATTATGACCAGCACTCTTACAGAAGACAGGGGACTATATATTTTTTAAAAAAACTGTGGGATTGCTACAAACAATCAGGACTACAAAAAAGTTCATATTGGGGCAAATTGCTCTTGTTGCCTGATACTGTCTGACTATTGGAGAAGGAGGGCATGTGGAGTCAGGAGAGAAGGTTGCCTGATTGTGCATCAGGACTGGAACACCTTCTCACAGCAATTACTCCATCCAAAATTAATTTTTCCAAAAAAATATGAAAAAGGTGGAAGTCAATAGCTGTGGTGCAATTCTCAGTTGAGTCAATGGCTTTATCTGTTTGAAGCTTGCCCATGGACATATCTGATACTGTATCTTCTTATGTGAGTGAGAGGGTGCCCCCTGTGAGCTGAGACAGCTACTGTTTGGAGGGGAACCACCAGAACCGCCCCCCTCAAAACCGTAACTCTACAGATGCCAGAAGAGACCTTTCCTGGTCCAGCTGGCCCTGGATGCTTCCCTCATCATCTCCAAGCCCAGGATCCTGCATAAATAGAGAGTTCTGTTTCACAGGTGTCATACTGGATCATAGCCAGTGTTAACAAAGCTACCTCTCCATCATGACTCAGCTCTAGTAAAACATCTTTTTCTTGTTGTTTTTCTTGTTGTTTTCCAGTAAAAAAACAAATGAATCTTTCGTTTCCTATCAGTGTGGTCATGCTCTATCCAGAAATCACCACGTCTCTGTATTGTAGAGAACACCCTTGTTATCAGTACATAGCAAAGTAAAGCATAAAAATGTTGGAGCACTTATACAAATTTTGTTAGATTTCATTTAGTTTTACTTCAAATCAGCACTGTTCCCTCAGCTTTTCTTGGTGCTGAAAGCCCCTGGTGCTGCAGCTTCATTGCTGACTAAGCTGGTTGCAATCCATTGCAGGTCCAAGCATCGCCTCGTTAGGTCATTTTAAAAACGGATTGTTTAATATCACAGTATCAGTAGTCATCAACCCCTGGGGCTTTGGCAATATAAAGTCAAAAAGAACAACCTGTGGGTGAATTAGATTCTCTGGAGCAATTGGGCTCTCTGAAATTCATTAACAATAACCTTTCCCATCTGAAAAAACATGCTCTAGCTACCCACTCTGTCTTCAGGGAAACAATCTTAAAAGTGCAACTTTTTCATGGGTTTAAGAGGGAGGAAGAGAACCGGGTAACTTTAAAAGATATTTCAACAACTTTCTCTCTGTGTGTTTGTGTGTATGTGTGTATTGTCAAGTTAGAACTAAATTGCAATTCTAATAGGGTTTTCAAGGTAAGTGAGATATTTAGGGAATAGTTTTACCAGTTACACACTCATACACCCAGGTCTCCTGAATCCTAATCTACCACTCTATTCACTGCACCACACAACAACTTTACACTTTATATATTCATTACCCAAGACCTCAAGAATTTGTATTTAACTTGCACCACCTCTGATTTCCAACCATTTACTCTGTATGGGGGCTTCACAGCCTGCAGCATGCAGCCATTTTCTGGCATATACTATCCATCCATTCACTTCAGAAATTACAGAAAGTCATTTCCATGCATAGCCTTCCTGGCCAATGAGGCCATTTACTGCCCAAAATTTCCTGCAATGGCTCTATTTATTTATTTATGTATTTTACATCCCACCTATCTGGTCTTGCGACTGCTCTAGGTGGCTCTATGGCAATCCCTGTTGCTAAATTTAGGTGCCACTGGAGTTGGGAATGGCAGATGTAAAGGGATCGTTTCCCTGACATAGACACAGGTTGCTGATGTTGGCAGAGTTCTCGGTCTACTCAGTAACCATCTCACTTAGTGAACCACTGGCTCATGTACTGTTGATGCGTGCACTAGAACACTGGTTCTTAACCTTTGTTACTCAGATGTTTTTGGATTGCAACTCCCAGAAGCCTTCACCATCAGCTCTGCTGGCTGGGGTTTCTGGGAGTTGCAGTTCAAAAACACCTGAGTAACAAAGGGTAAGAACCACTGCACTAGAACATTCTTGCCTGTGAGAGCTGAGATGATGGAGAAGAGAGGTAGTATAAGCAGTGTCTCCCCAACCTTGCTGAAGCTCAACAGGGCAAGCGTCTGGTCAATAACTGGGATGCCTTAGGTCTGCTGCCTTGAGTTCCATGAAAGAAAGATGAGATCTAAATAAAAGCTATAGAAAATAAAAATGCATACATACTTAGAATAATGTCCACTTTTGAAAATGGACTGGACTGGAAAATCCTTCAGGGAGCCCACACATGCTGCTCTTTAAACTGGCAACTCTGTTGGGAATAGCAAGAGCATCTGGCAGATGTGGAATTTTTAAAGTTCTCCATAGAACAGGTGGACATCAAAGGAGAGTAAAAATGGGGGGAAATGAGTCTTAAAACAATATTGTCTTGAGGCTTAGCCTAACGTGACTCCCTAAAAGTGAAAGTGACTTTCAAATATTCCTTATCTCTGGTACTTAGTTGTGTTGCTTATTCATATCCAACAACAGGTAGTGGTGATGGCCAGTGAAATACTCATTGCAATTATTTGTATATTTGCACTAGAAAAACATGCAAACCAAGGACTATGTCACTCCCAAGGCCATTTTTGTACCTCCAGGACCCTTCAATCCTCCCCAATATTTTGGGGGGTTGCCCTAGAGCACTGGTCTCCAACCTTGGGTCCCCATATGTTCTTGGACTAAAACTCCCAGAAATCCTGGACCGCAGAGCTAATGGTGAAGGTTTCTGGGAGTTTTAATCCAAGAACATCTGGGAATTTCAGGTTCAGAACAACTCATATAGAATAAGGTATGACCCATATAGCTGGTTTTCATAAAGTGGCTGTTCTTTCATTCTCTAGGCTCATGAGGTGTGGCTTCTAGAGGGTGGTATGGTCTGGTGGAATAGCCTCTGAGGCTTTCCTAAGCATGAAGTGAGGATCTAATAACCATTTTCAGTAATATTCCCATGCTGTCTTGTTATTCTTATTCTCTCTTGACCATTGCTTCCCACCCTGGGGTCATGGCCCTATTTGGGGGGGGGGGTCCACAGGTCACCTTATATGTGTTGCAGCCTTTGCTGAATAATTTCTTCCCTGACCTATTGGAGAAGGATATTAAAGTTAGTGTATATGTGTATGTATGAGAAACTGGTCCTTTGAAAGAGAAAGGAGCCTCTACTTTCTGAGAAAGGATTACTTTACCCTATTAAAAATACCTTTTATGCAAATGTGGCAAGGTGTCACGGGTTACTTGGCTATTACAAAAGGGGTGTGCAACTTGAAAAAGTTTGGGAACCACTGCTTTAGCAATGTTATAGCTCATGGAGATCTTAGGTTCAAAATTGCCACCCCACACTAGCCAGTGTCTGATGAAACACATCTTAATCCTGTACACTAACAAGCATTTGCTGGTCTCAGATACATTAACAGTCTGTTCTAGAAATGGAATCTGAACCATGTTTGCTCCCATTTTTCTGTCACATAGCACTTTTTTTCATCATAGGTTCTATTGTGCTAGTTTCTTCATTTGTAGCAATTGGTTTATTGTTTTGTTGGCTTTAGCTCTCTCTCTCTCTTTACCTTTTCTTTTCCCTCCCCTTTCTCCATTCTTTACCTTTCCCCCTTTTTTCTTTTTTTGGTAGTAAGCCAAGCTTGACATGTTTTACATTCAAGGACAGGATATAAATAGGTAGAATGACTAAGATTGTCAATGAAGTGCTCTGATTGTACAATCTGAACTTTTGTTCCTTTATTTTAGGTCTTTTTACTCCATGTAGAATAAACTGAGCAGACAGCTGGTCCTTTTCTTAAGCAGCAGATTGCTGAGGGGAGGGGTTAATGAAGCAAGTGGCTACATACTCTGGTGCTCAACCTCCCTCTCTGTACCATGCTGTTGATTATTATCATGTCAGAACAACCTGACTCTGTCCGGCAAAATCTTGTTGTCTACATGCAAAGAAATCAGCGGGAACTGTAGTAGCACCTGCAAGACAGGAAGTACCACAAGTTACTTTTCTATCCGTCAGTCTCACTTTGTACTACATTCTTTCCATCTTATTTATGAAGAAATCTGCACATTCCTCTTAAAAAATGAACCACATGATACTCTTGACCATCTTTACCAGTGAGATTCAATAGGTAGAGATAGGTAGAGGACCATCATCCATCTGGTTCCCATTAAGCTGTTAAAAATAAACCTGCCAGAAAATGGAGATTACAACTTTAATTCAGCTTCACAGGAATGGTGGACTACTTAAGCATTCAAGCCCAAACTCTGAAAAAGTAAGCATTAAAAGCCCCTTTCCTGGCTGCATTAATTTGCCATTTTTGCTTTTATCAGTATTTAGTTTTAAAAATCGCCCATGCTTCTAAAGAATGCTGTCAAAAACAACAACAAAAACAAACAAAAAACAGACAACCCAACCATCTGTACTAGCCAAATTCAATACTGTAGCTACAGCTAGTCCCGTTAAGGAAAGATCATCTGGTGCCTGCCTGCAGGATAGAAGTTCAAAGGAATACCAGATTTTTTTCCAGCCTGTGATGTTTTCCTTTACATTGAGCATGTAAAAAATGATCATTCCAGATTAGTGCTACTAGCTCATTGCTTTCAAACAAACAAAAAACAGACAACCCAACCATTTGCACTAGCCAAATTCAATAGCTACAGCTAGTCCCGTTAAGGAAAGATCATCTGGTGCCTGCCTGCAGGATAGAAGTTCAAAGGAATACCAGATTTTTTTCCAGCCTGTGATGTTTTCCTTTACATTGAGCATGTAAAAAATGATCATTCCAGATTAGTGCTACTAGCTCATTGCTTTCTTGAGCCAGTGTATACAAGACCTGTGTTTGAAACACCTTAACGGTAGTTGTGTTGCGCAAGATGGTCCCAATGGGCAGAGATGTGCTGAATCACCCATCTGTACTCATTTCAAGACATCATGGTACAAGAAGACAAGAACTTAAGTGGTGCCACCAGTTATATGGTTGCTGCCAATAACAAATCTATTGACAGTTTGATATTCATTAACAGACTCCAAAGCATGCTACATAAGATGTCTCATTCCTCTTAATGGTACAGCTACTTCAAGTAGTTCACAAAGAGAAAATGTCATGTGCATTGCATTCAAACAAATGTGCAAAAATGGACCAAATCAGGGTTATTTGTTTGATTTAGGAAGAGGAGAGTGCAGAGGAAAGACCTGTTCACTCTCAGTAGAAACAAATGTGCAAAAATGGACCAAATCAGAGTTATTTGTTTGATTTAGGAAGAGGAGGGTGCAGAGGAAAGACCTGTTCACTCTCAATACCCCAATTGATCCTCTATATTCCATTTGGTATTTGTAGGATTAGAATTGAGAAAAGGAGAAATCCACATTATTTGCTCAATTCCTGATGCCAAAGTGAGTGAAAGCTAAAGCTCAGCAATGTGCCTCCACACTCCAATCATAGAAGTGAAAGGGGGCTCAGATGCAATTGCTGTGCACTACACAGTCTCTTGTAGTAACTATGTCATTCTTTATTCTTTCATTCAGCTTAGGGCTCAATCACACATGGCAAAACAACCCAGTTATACTGATCTGGCTGGTTTTTAGATTGTTTCATCAATTTCTGAGCACACAACACATAACCAAGATTGATTCATTTTCCTGGCCATTGGTTTACTTCTGATTTATTTCTCTGTCGCCAAGATGGTGGTTTTAAATTGTACTGATAGTGTATCGATTCATGCCTTACCAGTATAATATGTGTACATGTTCCTATCAATTCTTTTCCCATCCTTGGTCCCTAGGGAAGGCGGCCGCCATTAATGCCATTTAATGACCCTGTGATTAATTTTTTATTTTTCGCAAGTGGCATACTGATACATCGATAAATCAAGGTCTCTGGCTTTACAGAGACAATCTCAGCATGGTT